TACAGGTAGAGGCCTTGCGACGAGCTGATCACCCGCCCAAGGAGTCCTACCGTATGTGTAAGATCTAGAAAAACCGAAGTGAACGGAGAAGTTCATGGAGGTAGGCCTAGGCCCACTGGGGCTGTAGTGACAGGGAAAAAAAACAAATTAACTCTGCATTCTTTAGCTGCCTCGTTACTACCTGTAAGTTGGTATGTAATCCAAAGGTCCTGCGACCGGAAATATAAACATATTTTTTTGGTTATCCTTTTTTCTAAGCAAATGCTGATATGGTTTACACTTTCAAAATTGATACTGCATGTTTTACAAGTATTCAGAATCGTTCCCATTTTTAATATAAAACAAAAATAAATAATCATGCTTTTGAGCCCTCTTAAATTACATATTAAAAATTCCTGCTTAAAATTACTATATTATTCTGCACAAAAAGCTGTACATTTTATCACATGCGCGTTTTTATTATCATTTAACCCACAGTTCACAGCGTTATCTTCATTTCGTGTAATTTTCAATTTTCAAGAAATTATCGATGGATATAATGAACTTTCTGTCTATTTGCCAGAATGTTCTTGGAATGACCTTCTGACTTTTCATACAGCTCTCGTATTTACATGTAAAAATAATTAATTGACTGGCACCATTCATATAAACTGAAGAAATAGGAAGGTCAAATTATTTATTCGTGATTGGTTGCTGTAATCATTCCACAAATTATATAACGAACTAAATGACCTATACATATATGAAGTTTGTACCGTATCGTTTTGAGAGTGTTCAAGTTGAAGGAACCATAATACAGTATCTTCTAGTACACATACGTCCATAATAGTTTAGACAGTGAAATGACTCTTGGTGTAAATGTATTTGTATTTCTTTGTATAATTCTTATTATAGAACAAAAAATGTTCTTCTCTGCTGCGTTTTTGATACCTCCCTACCATTATTATGGGTTTATGGGGGGAAGTTATTTCCCTTGTAATTGGGGTTATAGTTATTGCTCCTACTTGCCTCAGGATTACTATTACAGTAACGGGTGTGGATGCACCTATGATCTAGGTGGCTGTGCACCGTGTGTCCTTGAATCGCCAAGCGTCCTTGAAGTACCAAGATATCCCGGACCACCATTCTATCCTGAATTCATCATTCCTGGATCACCTAGTGTTACTGAATCACCAAGAGTCACTACGGAAGAAAATGACTCTCTTGGACTCGGTGAAGTAACTTTAGCCCGCAGAAGTGTCACAGCTAAAGGAAATAACGAGGAAGAAGAAGAAGAAGAAGAAGAGGAAGATAATGAGGATTATGATGAAAATGGAGGAGACTATGATGAAGAAGAGGAAGATGACGAAGAAGAAAATGATTAACAGAAGTGGATTTTTTTTTTTTAATTACGATTATAAGCCCATGATCGGGAGTCGACGCGTGAGCTTCACAAATAGGTAAGTTCTAGTGCTGTATCATAATGGTATGGAGTAGAAAGTCAGACTACCATCTACATTTTGTTGTGTCACGGCGCGTTCAGGCCACGCCCCGCAACATGTTTGCATGAGGCAGTTGGACACGTGTTACGGGCATTCCCCGACTAATGCAGCCCAGCGCCATGGCAATGTTGACGGACAGTATTGTTACTAAACAAAATTAGTAGTTTGAACTAGATTTTGTTTAGAATACAAAGCGAAGGCCGTGTTGTAGCTCATTATACCAGGTGTTGATTTCTCACCGTGAAGTCTCGGATTCGATCCCAAGTTACCATGTGGGATACGTTGTGAACTATATAGGTGACATTGGATCAGGATTTCTTTTATCTCAGTTTCTTATGTTTTTCCACGCTAACCTTCATTCCTGCCGGTCACGATGACCGACAGGTCTAAGGCATATACTGACTTCGCTCCCTCGGAGGTCAGGATCGTGGGTTGGAATCCCACAAGGCATGGATGTTTAGTATCTGTGTTTATTCCGCATTTGTGTTGTCCTGTGGACCAGTGGAGGGCCCTTGTGAACACGGTTATGAGCCTTCGGGTTCCATAAAATTCCGCGAAATTCTTGAGTAGCTGCAGAATTGTCGGTTCCTCAAAAAGGATTCAGCTCTATGCGTAAATAAGTATGAGGGCACGCAGTAGATAAACTGGTTGAGGCACTTTACTACAAGCCGGAAGGTTGCGGATTCAATTCCCGATGTGATTATTGCATTTTCAACTGACCTAATCCTTCCAGCCGCACTATGGCCCTGGGTCGACTTAGCCTCTAACAGAAATGAGTACCAAGAATCTTACTGGGGGTAAAGGGCGGCCGGCGCATAAGGCTGACAACCTCACTGCCATCTGTGAGTCGGTTTTCTGGAAAATGTGGGCGCCTCGATGCCTCACATCCCCATGGGTCTCCATGGCCTGTTACAGGGATAGCTTTAGATGAGAGGGAAACATAGTACATTGTTTGTAGTTTATTTAAAGAAGTTTTCGGTGACTCAGAAAGCATTGTAGAATGGTGGGATGATAGAAAAGGATTATTTGGAAGGGATGTAGAAGGAAGCGAACGTAGCTTAAAGCACGGTACTATCCTAGCATTTGCCAGGAAAGACTGAGGAAAAAGACGAAAATTCTTTGTTATTTTTAGTAGATACTAGTCTAGATTTAATAAAGACCAAGATGTTGGTCGTTGTATAATATTAAAATGGATGTTAGAAAAATTCGTTGAGTTGATATGGACTGGATTGATCTGGTTCGTGAGAGGGACTAGTAGAGGGATCTTTTGAACACGGTAATGAATCTTCGGGTTATATAAAATGCTGGAAAAGTTTTTGAATAACTGCACAACTGGCGGCTTCTGAAGAAGGGCTCAACTCCATGAAGTTCCTGGTCTAGATTCGAATTCGCATCTGCGTATTTTAGTTCACAGTTTTACAGTTTGACTCAACTTAGTCGCTAGGCATAAATTTCATAGGGGGGGCTCGTTAAAGTTCCATTAGGAGAAGAACTCATAACTTTTCCTTCAGTAGTAGTGTTATACCAATGAAAGACTTATTATGTACGTGTAATTACTAAACGAGACCTTAGTTTACTGCGAACTCTGAACAACTGTTCCCACTATTGGCTCCAGCTTTTACGTATATGTTCAACCTTGTTTGCATTTACTTTAAGTAGACTACATAGCGGTTGGTTGTAGGATGATATATAAACTAGAAATAGTCAAGGCATTATGGCGACATTTTCTTGAAGTAACTGAGGAAAAGCAGAAAAAATCTACGTCGGAATAAATAATATACGAGCCGAAACCAAACAGAAGTATTTCAGAATAAATGTATATAGCGTTACTGCTACGTCAACTAGCTCGACCCAGTAATAGAATTACATTGAAGGGACCAGATTTATTCTACCAAGGTACAGCTCACTTATGTATAGAAGAGCTCGAGTTTTTTCGCTATGCCAAGGTGGTCTGTCAAACCCATAACGCTTCTGCTGCTACTGTAACCATATCAAGACTGATCCAATACAATGAAATAAATTGCTGATGGTCTTCGACAGCACAGTCGTTCTTGGTATAGTGCTCCATTGAGACCAATTTCCATATTTTTTTCTGTGCAGACTTTTATGTGTGTTCGAAATGGGGCCTCAATTTTTCTAAATAATATTGTAACGTGTTTACGTTACTGAATACGCCGTAGAGATCGTTAACTGGTTTATTGAACAATCTACAACTATCGGCTACACTTAATTATCACAACGTTACGGGTTTCCACAGTTTACAAACCCTACAACACAATCTCTTAACACAATCTTCACTTGTCTTCACGTACTGATAACGCGGGAGCTATACAAGTCTCCCTGAAATACACACTCCGAGTATAACTGTACTACAGCAATCACTATGTCTGGAAAGCACACAATAAGTCTTCCGCTCGCTGACTTCTTAGTTATCGCACACTCGCAGGCTGCTATGTTTCAACTGATGTGAGGCGNGGGGGGGGGGCTCGGCTTTGTGCAACATGTCACAATATATATAAATTCAGTTCGTACCTCACAGGAAAAGGGGACATGCGGTAGTAGAGTTGGTTGAGGCACTATGCTACAAGCCGGAAGGTCGCGGGTTCAAGTCCCGATGAGGTCATTGGATTTTTTCAATCGACCTAATCATTCCAGCCTCACTAGGCCCTGGGGATGACTCAGCCTCTTACAGAAATGAGTACCAGGAATTAATTAAATATTTTTTCTGGGGAGTAAAGCGTGGCCGGCGCGTAAGGCTGACACCTTGCTGCCATCTTTGAGCCGATTGTCTAGATAATGTGGGACCTTGAACGTCTCACAACCCTATGGCCCTTCACGGCCTCTTACAGGGACAGATTTACTATTTTACTTTCCTTTCTACCTCACAGGAAACACCTTCTACCTCCGCTGCAGAGACCAACCAATTAGCGCTGTTTAGGGAAATAATTACTCTTTATTTTGAGAACCATATGAAACAAATAAAATATTTATGTAGAATACAAAGTTTTCGTACGTTAAAGCAGGTGGCATATTCAGTAACTACTAGGGATAAAATGCCACGCCCTTCATTTCAACCTAGATGCAGTCATGTCGTCACACTGGGTACCATTTTACTCCCAAACAACGAAGTATTTGCCTATCATTTGTATAAATTATTCCGACTGCTCCTTCATCTGCTTGCTGAGATCCCGCAAGTAGATGTGTCATGTTGATGGATGTGTTATCAGCGTAGTTCAGCAAGATATTAGCGTCAAAGTTCACATAAAGCAACAGATTGTGAGAAAAAGTGTATAGATAGTGGCTTTTCGCCTTTTGGTATTTCTAATTAGAAGTGTCCGTTATACTCTGTGGTGTGCTACTTAACGGACAACTGTGGAATACAACGGAAAGACATCTGAAGTATATAGAATTTTGTAACTTGACATTTATGTACTAGAGTTTGGTTTATGGATATATATATATATAGCAGCCTTCAATAATTGAATTTGATTTTAACGCTCTGTGTTCTGTTATCTGAAAGACAAAATTTGGGAATCTGAGTTGCAAGACAAAAAAAAACATCTTGAATTGATTTGAACTGTGGTACAACTGGTGTGTGATTTATGGATATATAAATACAATAATAATTAGAAGTGATTTCGGTAGTTCTATTATTATCTGAATGTCAAATGCGTCTTAATTTACCATATAACTTAAAGTCACTTTGAACTGATCTGTAGTATGCTAGAACTCTAATTTAGTTTAAGGATACAAAACCGGAATAATATTTGAAATTGTTATTTTAGTGTTACTACCCGAGGGACAAATATTTTTGAACCTAAGATACAACAAAAGAACACTTTGAGTTGGTCTGAACTTTGCGAAATATTGTCATGTACTTTAATTATGAACTCGCATTTGGTTTATGGATATACAGAATCACTAATGTTATTGTATTTCCTTGAATTAAAGAGACGAATGTTGTGATATTATCGGGTAAAAAATTATCGACATAAAGCAATGAAGTTACCGGCTTGTTTATCATTAACTTACATTGGTTTGTTACTTCTGACACTGGACAACGGTGCGTATAATATTCCTATATTCGCAGATTATTCGTTATATTATTCTGATAGTGTAGAAAACGTAGGAATGATATTATCTGATTGTACAGAAAGAGTAGATTGTCTAAAAGTTGACATAATTGATGAGAATGAAGTTGGTGATATTATTAGTGACCCTGGTACCAAAAATAATTGTATATCTAATACAAGTAACGATATAAATACAGTGTCAAATGAGGTTCAAGTTCTGAGTCAATCAACAGATAAAAATCAAATAAATAATAATACGTTTTATAAAACGTCTACTACAACAGACAAAAATTATGAGCTTCATAAGCTTGTGGATTGTGTAATGAATGATTTTGTTCCTTCGGATGACAGTGATGACAGTGATAACCTAACTTTTGCAAAACGTGATGATAATGTTGGAAACACAATAGTTGATGATATTCTTTATAAAGATATGCCAGCATTTCTAATAATATCTATTGTAAACGATGATGGAGAAGATTACAATATTAAGGTTGAAAATGCAGTTCAAGTCACAGGTGATGAAATTATGTTGAACTACAACAAGGCAATCGAGGCTCTAGCAGACTTCATAAACAAAGAAGACATGTCATTAGAGGACAGCAAAGAATGGAATGAAGACAGCGAGCCCGAGGAACCTCAAAGAATTGTGGAAAACGGTTACATTTTTTACGACATGGGTGAGTCTATTTACCTTTCTCAAGTGCAAATATTTCATCTTACAAGAAGGGGGAGGAGAGGAAAATTCCTTTCGTGTATTACTTTGTGATGACACGCATGCACACCCTCACATACACACGCATAAACATGCAAACAACCTGCGTCATTGTTACTTAGTGATATAGGCATTTACGTCATCACCAGAAAGTTACTAGATTATGCCGCACTGAATCATATACTCCATCTGCTATGGGAACGAGGGTGCGTCATCATCAGTTAGTGACGTAGACCGTTACGTCATCACCAGAAATGTACTAGAATATTCCGCACTGAATCATATACTCCATCTGTTATGGAACGAGGGTGCATCATCGTCAGTTAGTGACGTAGACCGTTACGTCATCACCAGAAATGTACTAGAATATTCCGCACTGAATCATATACTCCATCTGTTATGGGAACGAGGGTGCGTCATCATCAGTTAGTGACGTAGACCGTTACGTCACCACCAGAAAGTTATTAGATTATGCCGCACTGAATTATATACTCCATCTGCTATGAGAACGAGGGTGCGTCATCATCAGTTAGTGACGTAGACCGTTACGTCACCACCAGAAAGTTATTAGATTATGCCGCACTGAATTATATACTCCATCTGTTATGGAACGAGGGTGCGTCATCATCAGTTAGTGACGTAGACAGTTACGTCATCACCAGAAAATTACAGGATTCTATTTCCAACATATTTACCATGGCTGTTTTTCCGTAAAGTTGCTTATACAAAGTATGCCAATGCTGTACAGTCTCGATACTGAGGACGTAGTAAAAATAACCATCTTAATTAATTAATTACATAATGTATGACGTGCCCTTGTTCGTAGAGAATACGTAGTTCATTCTGATGTAAACGGTAGACGCTTTACCAAACAGAAGTATAAGCGAATATAAGAAAGTGACAGGAAACTGCAGACAACTTCATAATTTATATTCTTCTCCAAATATTATTAAAATATTCAAGTCAAGGATGATGAAATGGACAGGACATGCAGCACAAATGGAAAAAGTAAGTTTCGATAGGAAAACTGAAGGAAAGGAATTGACTAGGCATGAGAGGATATTATTAAGACGGATATTAAATAAGATGGGCAGGTGTGGACTGGGTTATTCTAGACTCAGGGACCAGATGCGAGCTGTTGTGAACACGGTAATGAATTCTCGTGTTCCATAATATTCTGGGACCTTCTTCATTAGATGATAAAATAATATCTTCTCAATAAACGACCCATTTTCATGGTGTTAAATAGGTAATTATTTAGTCGTTTAGGTATAGAACGCGCACAAAATTTTCCCCATTGGATTGATGATTGAGGAGAAAAGTTACGGTTCTGAGTGAGTACAGTGTACTGAATAGTGATCTAAACTTCGGGGAAAGTAACTTCTTGTTATTTAAAATATAAAAAAGCAAACTCCGTGGCCTGTAGTCCGCAAGCGAACTATACCGACCGAGCGACCGCCACTTGTCGAAGTTAGCGCAAACGTTTGCGAATAAAGAGTGTTACGTGGTAAGCGCCACGAATTGTTATTATTATTATTATTATTATTATTATTGGGTTAAGAAGCGTAAATACCCTATCTGGTGTTCTGGTAGGCTTATAGCTTATATTAAAAGGAAGAATTATTTTTATAGACGCTACAAGAAGCACAAGACTGATCGTTTATATGATAGATTTTCTTTTTATCGGAAACTAGTAAAAAGAACAATAAAGTCCGATAAACATCTTTGGCTCTTATCTGTCGACNGAAACTAGTGAAATGCTACATTTGGAGCATAGCTCTGTATGGGGCTGAAACATGGACACTTAGGGCAGTAGATCAGAAACATCTGGAAAGTTTCGAAATGTGGTGTTGGAGAAGGATGGAGAAGATCAGTTGGACCGATTATGTGAGAAATGAAGAAGTGTTATTTAGAGTCAGTGAGCAGAGGAATATCCTACACGAAATAAGAAAACGGAAGGCTAATTGGATTGGTCATGTTTTACGCAGATACTGCCTTCTAAAAGAAGCTATTGAATGAAAGATAGAGGGGCGGATAGAAGTCACCAGAAGACGAGGAAGAAGACGTAAGAAGATGCTGGATGACCTTGGAGACAGAAGAGGATATTCTCATTTGAAGGAGAAAGCTCTAGATCGCATCAAGTGGAGGAACTGTTTTGGAAGAGACTGTGGACCTGTCGTCTGACAGATTACTGATGATGAGGATGATGTATATATATATGCATGAGAAGAGTTGAATTTGTTGTCGTAATATGGAACTAGCTGCTTTTGATAAAATTTTGGTGTCTATCGGTGTTTATTTTGTACCTAAAAGTCAGAAGACTCAACAATTGACTGTTAAGGACTTAAATGACTTAAGGAAACACATTAATTTTTTTTAGTGTTTAACTAGGACAAGATCGTTGTGTTGTTCTGTTTCCAGTCAAAGTGAGGTTATGAGCTTTTGGTAAAAATGTTATTAATAAGCAAGCCTTAACCTAAAGAGAAAGCGCGCATTGTTATTTTATCTAGTTTATATTTTAGCATAAACGTAGCTGTCTTTCCAAACTTTTTCAAAATTGGGAGGTTAGATATTTTTGATAAAGCCTGAGATTTCAAAGGCCTAGTCTAAAATAAGTGAATACCAAGGCGAGTAAAACACTCTGCATATTACTGCAGATCTTTGTATCTAATGTTCTTTTTAGGGCAATAACTTCCTAAGGATCGACCAGGAATGTCAGACAAATATTTATAAATTGCAGAAGTAGTTGCCAACATTCGAAGAGATATAAAGTGAAAGGAAATTGGAGAAAACTACACATTGAGGAGCTTCATAACTTATTCTCTTCTCCAAGTATAATAAGGAAAATCAAGTTAAGGAGGATGAGGTGGACAGGGCATGTAGCACGAATGGAGGAGACGAGGAATGCAAATAGGATATTCGTGAGAAAGACGGAAGGATAGAGACCACTGGGAAAACCAAGGCTTAAGTGGGTGGACAATATTAAAATGGATCTTAGATAGAATGGGATGATATGGATTGGGTTGATCTGGCTCAGAATAGGGGCTAGTGAATGGCTCATGTGAACACAGTAATGAACTTACGGGTTCCATAAAATACTGGGAGTGAGTAAATTAGTGAGGGTTGTAGTCATTCGTGTTTTCGAGCTATACGTGTACAATAAATTCGATTATCATTACAAACCTCTTTAACCACTAACACGCGAACACTACTGAAAATAATATATTCTGAGATCTGACTACGTGTAATGTTAGTCGAAGAGGAAGCCAAGTATCAAGCAAAAAACAAAGCCAGCTGCACCTATACCTGTCCCATATCTCCAAAGTGCTGGTCTTTGTGTTTACAGTTTGCTTGTCCTAATTCCGATCCTGAAGATGGAGGCGGTATGTTCCTCCGACTCAATAACGTCACGTAAATGGTGATAAGCCGGTCACGGTAGCCGAGCGGTCTAAGGTATGTACTGTCTTCGCTCGCTCGGAAGCCGGGATCGTGGGTTCGGATCTGTTTCCTGTGAGGGACGAACTGAATTCTTATATATTATTCTTATACACTGCCGGTCACGG